GCTTATTCTTTGATTGACCCTTTCTCTTCAATTGTGGGCAATCATATTTGACATGCCCCGGCTTTTTGCATTCATAGCAAATGATCGGGTCCTTCTCTTTTGGTTCATTTTTTAGGCCTTCATTTCATTTGAATTTTCTCCCTCGGTAAGGTCTCATCATTTTTCTGAACCGTTTGGCAAACAATGCCATTTCCTCATCATCGCCATCTTCATCCGAATCACTCTCATCTTTTTTGGATTTGAGAGCAACTCCAATGTTTTTCTTATTCTCCTTCTCTTTTGGTGTCTCTTCAATCTTATCGAGGTCCACCTCATCTTCAAGCATCATTTCATGAGTGAGAAGTGAACTGATTAGCTCTTCAATAGTTAAGGACGTTAGGTCCTTAGACTCGATGATTGCCGTTTTCTTTGATTGCCATGATTTTTGGGAGGGAGTAGACTAACTTCCTCACAAGCTTTTCATTTGAAATGATCTCTCCATATGATTTGAGACCATTAACAATCGTTAAAAATCTATCCGTTATAGCTTTGATATCGTCATTTGGTTTCATCCTGAAATTTTCATAGCTATGCGTTAGAATACTAATTTTAGATTTCTTTACCTCATTGGTACCTTCATGAGTGACTTGAAGTTTGTCCCATATTTCTTTGGCGGTTGTACAAGATGAAACTCTCTCGTATTCATCTGGTCCAAGAGCACAAAATATGATATGGATGGCTTTGGAGTTGAGCTGGAACATTTTTATCTCTCATTCACTCCACAATCTTGGATGAGTGAGAGGCTTGATGTATCCTTCTACTACGACATTCCATGCTCCCATGTCGCTTGCTTGAATGAAGTACATCATCATATTCTTCCAATAGGCATAGTTAGCCCCATTGAAGAAATGAGGCTTGTTGACGGGCATCGAATCGAGACCTGAGTCGAAGTTTGATGTAGTGGCCATTGATGACTTTAATTATCGATGTAACTCTTCCCGAATCGACTCAAGAGGCGATTAAACCTTTAAATGAGTTAGGCTCTGATGCCAATTGTTGAGTTAATCGATTGATGGAATCGGCCAAGAGGGGGTGAATTGGCAATTTAAAAAATTTTGTGGAAGTTTTTGCAGAAAATTGAAAGTAATTGCACAGCGATTTAGAGTGGTTCGACTTTCTCAACCAAAGTCTACGTCCACTACCTTAGCTATCCACACTAAGGATTTTCCACAAATTCACTAATTTGTCTTTCTTTTGAGGACAAAGAGTAACCTTACAAACCCTCAAGAATTATACCCCAAATTCTTGAGAACACTCTCTCCCAAAGAGAATAATACAAATTTTGCAAACTTACAAGGGAATCCTCACAAGGTAGATTGTTTGCACAATTCTAGAACAAGAAAAGAACACTAAAAAATAATTACAAATGAGCACAAATGGTGTTCTTGAAAGCAAAATGAATATTGAAAGGAAAATTGGCTTGTTTTGCACAAACTTGGTGTTTGATGCTTTCTCTCTTGTTTCTTTATGATTTCTTGTTGATCAAAGGCTTCTAAGCTTGCTTAAATACACCTTAAATCACTTCTGAATGTTGGGGATGATTAGTGAAGATAATATAGCCGTTTTAGTGTGAAATCAATTAATAAAACAGTTTGGAGCGTGGGGGGAATTGGTTCCCCTTGAGGGGAATCGGTTCCCTAAGTGTAAAATTCAAATATTTCGACTGTTACACAGGGGGGAATCGGTACCCCCTGGGGGGGAATCGATTCCCTCTGAGCATACTGGAAATCTCGGAGCCAAACCATTCAGGGGGAATCGGTTCCCTCTGAGCAATCTGGAAATTTTTGATTTGAAATGGTTCGAAATATTTTGTAAAATTGTTTTAAAATTATTTTAAGACTAAAACTTAATTTTACACTTGAGTAAGAATTAAAAATGACATTTGAAAGATTTGGAGTAATATTTTGATATTCAAATAATTATATCGAATATACTTAGAAAATCTTTTTGGAAAATCTTAAAATTCATTTAACTTAATTTGTTATATCGAAATATCAAAATGTTTTCAACACATCTTTTTATCATCAAGTTGTCAAGTCTCCAACTTGGAGAAGTGTTATGGATGATGAACTTCGAGCTATGGAGACTCTTGACACAGGGACCATTGTTCCTTTACATGATGGAAAGAATGTCGTTAATTGCAAATGGGTATACCGTGTCAAGTATAAATCTGATGGCTCGGTTAATCGTCATAAAGCCCAGTTGGTTGCTAAGGGTTTTACACAAGTTGAGGGGATCAACTACATGGATACATGCTCACCAGATGCAAAGATGACTTCATTTCGAGTATTACTTTCTCTTGCTGTAACACGTAAGTGTCATTAGCTACAATTGGATGTTAATAATGCCTTTCTAAATGGTATCTTAGATAAGGAGGTCTTCATGAAACTATATCCTGGATACAAGCCCGAGCTTAAGGGATCTACTATGGTTTGTAGACTTCGCAAGTCCATCTATGGACTCAAGTAAGCGTCTAGGCAATGGTTCACTGCTTTTTCTAATGTTGTTCTTTAGCTTGGCTTTCTGCGGTCTCCCTTTGAACATTCTTTATTTACAAGAGGCTATGTAGATGGATTTGTTGCTCTTCTTATCTATGTAGATGATATTGTTTTTGCTGGGAAATACTTACAATTGTTTCATGAGATTCAAGGTCTTTTACAACAACATTTCAAACTAAAGGAGTTTGGACCTTTGCGTTACTTTCTTGGCTTTGTGATAGCTAGGAATAGTTCTTGTATTGTTTTATCTCAAAGGAAATATACCTTGCAACTGTTGGAGGATACAAGCTGCTTGGGTGCTAAACCAGTTGAATCACCCATGTTACTTTCCTTGAAGTTAAGTGCAAATGAAGGAGAATTACAAGTTGATTTTCAAGAGTATCGCTGATTGATAGGTTGCTTGTTGTACTTGACTAATACCAGACCGGTTCATACTGTGCATTTGTTAAGCCAGTTCGTTTCTTCTCCTTGCTTGCCTCACATGACAGCTTTGAAGCATCTTTTGGCATACATAAAACATTTCCCTGACCTTGGCTTACTTTTTCCGGTTCAGTTCACTGATCAATTAAGTATATATTTTGATTCAGATTATAGCTCGTGCCTAATACACGATGTTCCACTACAGGTTTTTTTTTTGCTTTCTTTGGAAATAGTTTGGCGTCTTGGAAATCAAAGAAACATGCATTTGTTAGTCGATCTTTTTGCGAGGTCGAATATCGAGCCATAACCGTGGCTACTTGTGAATTGGTTTGGCTTGTTTCTTTGCTCTCTCTTCATTTCATTTGGTTGTTGATCATGCAAGGTTATATTGTTATAACCAGGTCGTAATTAATCTTGCAACAAATCAAGTATTCATGAAAGGACAAAACATATTGAGGTTGAATGTCATTTTGTAAAGGACAAAATGAAGGCTGGTTTTTTGAAGCTTTTTCATGTTTGCTCTTCGGACCAGCTGGCTGATATTTTCACAAAGACTCTTCGGCCTCCCATGCATCGTGGTCCCAACTTGAGGGAAGGGTATTAGGATATATTAACTGTAATTAATTAGCCGTTTTATTCTATTTTATAATACGGTTAGTTAGTTAATATTATAGATGTATATAAACAGCTTTGTAATCTTCTTTTGTATACAAGTGAAAGAAAGCATTCTTCCATTTCCAGTTTCTTGTTTGTTATAATGAAACTCCGTGATAACCATTCCTCTTTCCTCCATTTCAACTTCTGATGTTATTATTTTCTCCAATTGCTCACACCCACCAACACTGAGCCTTTGTAAATTTAACGGCACACAGTTGGGGGAGAACAACTTTTTCATATTTCTGCAATTATGAATTTCAATAGATCTAAGAGATGAAAAGGAGGAAACTGAGAAGAGGATAAACCTGGAGAAAAGCGGGTACTCTTCACTGCAACCAACATTGCAACACCCAATATCCAATCCCTCAATGTCACGTGGAAGCACAATCTGGTAGGTATAGATGTTACAATATCTTACAACAATTTCTTTACTTGCACTCCTAAGAAACATAGGAAATCCTACTGCTCCCACAGAGATTATGTATTCACGAGGCTCTTTTCGGCCATGACAAGCTTGGAGATACATATTTAAGTTGTGCTAGTCTTAAAACCTCCCTTTAAGAATTTCCAGTTTCTTCAATCCACCAACCTCCTTTCCATTTATCAGAGTTTCACCGACAACCAAGTATTGAAGACGACAAAGTCTTGAAAGTACTCCATTCGTGATCTCATTTAGGTTCTCAACAAGGTGGAGGTGCATATGCAGATGCAGATGGTGGCACATTATCAAGTTGAGGAAGATTAAGACCTATCCTTTTTAACTTGGGACATTTCAGTACTTCAATTTCTACTAGAGAATCACAAACAACTACTGCTCCACACTACAAATGCACTTCAATTCCGGTAGAGAACACAACTTCAATATCCTTAATTGTGGAAGACGAAATTCCATGGTAACCGTTCCTACTTTCCTCCACTTCTGAGGCTATTATTTCCTCCACTTGCTCACACCTGATAACTCTAAACTCTTGTAAATTCAGCGGCACGCAGTCTGGGGAGAACAACTTTCTCATATTCCCACAATCATACATATGAAGAAATTTAAGATATGAAAAGGAGCCAATTGAGGAGAGGATAAACCTGGAGAAAAGAGGGTATTCTTCAATACAATCAACGTTGCAATCCCAGATACGCAATCCCTTAATGCCACGTGGAAGCATAATCTGATAGCTGTAAATATTACCACCACATACAACAATGTCTTTTCTTACTTCTTTACCCACCGCATGCCATAGTACATCTCCCACAGAGATTATGTATTGTCGTGGCTCTTCTCGACCATGACAAGCTTGGAGATACATATTTAAGTTGTGCCAGTCGTAAAACCTCCCTTTAAGAATTTCCAGTTTCTTCAATCCACCAACCTCCTTTCCATTTATCAGAGTTTCACCGACGATCAAGAATTCCTATTCTCTCAAGTGAAACCTTCTCCCATAGGTCATCCAAGATCATCACAAACCTACCCTTCTGAGACAATGTTTCAAAGATCATCCCTGCCCTTGTAGTTTCATCTTCATCACCAGAAAATTCTACTCCAATTCTACGTGCAATGTCTTTCTGCAGTTTAACAATACTCACCTCTTTGGATACAGTGATCCAAATCACAATTTCAAATTTCCCCGTCTCTTTTAAGAGTTGGTTGTTTATAACCTTCATCATGCTTGTTTTCCCCACGCCACCCATGCCCCAAACTCCAATCTTTCGAACCCCATCATCCATCAAGCACTGCCAAATCTCTTTAACACAGGCCTTTACAGCTTCACCTGATAAACTTATTGTCGATAAAACTTGTCCGATCCATTGAGGATTGTCAACCACCAAACCTCCATGAAACTTACCATGTTGAATAATAAGTTCTTCAACTTCCTTTGTAATCTTTGACACATCTTCTGTGTGAAATCCCCGTGTAAGAGCACTACTTTCACCGATTCTGTCATCAAGGTCTTGCACTTCGCCATTGAGTCTTTCAACATTTTCCAACCATATCTGGACTTCCGCCTTGAGTTTCTTCCTTGGCTGCAGCTCTTTTCTCATTATAGATTCCGTATCTTTCTTCGTACCATTCAATTCTTTTAATTTCCTTTTAAGGTCCTTCATATGCTGATCAAAGATCATGTGATTGTCCAAGTGCTTATTAATCTTATTCAGAACAAAGTCCATGGCTGCAAGTCACAAGCAATATGTTAGAAACTGGGCAACACAGTAATGAACATGGAGTAAAAAACGATATATGCCATGGAATTGTAGTTTATGAAAAAAATCAAGTTAATGATCATGGAGTAAAAAGAATGAAAAAGAATCATGTTCCTTGCAGTTAATGAGGTTCGAAAGAACAATAAAAATGTAAAATTCAATAAATACCTCTTCTGACAAATTTGTTCGGAGATGATGACCGGAGAGAACTAGCAAAGAAACGTTCCTGATAATATGAGAAACGGTGCTATAAAGAGCCTGACTGCCTGTGCTAGAATCACCTACACTTAAGCCATTTTCACCAACAACAAACCAGGAAATCACACACCCTTGGCAGAACAAATCACTGTTACACGCACACAGCACAACAGGTAATTACAAATTTCCAAGTTTATTGGTTATTGTCGTCTTTTCTTCTCTACAGGCTACTGATATTGGTATTTGTTATTTGGGTTTATTTAATTATTATTAAATTAAATTTATTTTGAAATGTATTTTTTTTTTGTTTATTGTTTTTCAATGTTTTATGTCATGAGCAGTGTAGTCAATAAATACCCGCTGGGAGAAGATGATGAAGGTTGGGTCAAATGACTTTATTGTTTTCATATCCATTTTCTTCTCTTTATATTTAATAATAATTTTATACTGCAAATAGAAAAGAAGAAAAAACAATGTTAGGTTCGGTGCAACGACGTCAATTTTAAGGGAAAAAAAACCAAATTATATTTAATAATAACTTGTTCAGAGATGATGACCGCAGAGGAAAAACAAAAGCTCCGGAAATGAAGAAAACCAGTTAATGAAGTTCTTTGCTTGCTAATTATAGGATTCCATTCATGGATTTACTGCAATTGTAGTCGCTTTTTTTTATCGCTTTACGTTTATTACAATTATGGAAATAATGGTTATTATTGCGGATATCGCAGTAATAAATGTTTCAAACGATACCTTTACCGCTATATAATAGCCGCTATATGAATAACGAATTGTTATTCCGATAGCGAATCCCTATTTAAATCGATGATACCGCTCACCAAAACTTAAGCAAGTTTCACCTACTACACAAAGGAAATGTTGATTCCAGTCTCAGTGACCTCAGTGTTTTCTCTTCATTTTCTTCTTATTTATTCAATAAAGCTGGTTAGGTGCAATCATTCTAAGAAAGGCAAATTAAAGTTTAATTTAGACCAACAGGGGTTGGTTAAGGTATAAACAGTTTGATATCGCTTAAATAAAATTTCGAGTTTGAATCATTGCATATACAGAAAATCTTTACTGTGAGACTCATCCACCAAAATCAAATGTGTGACACGAATTGATTCTAATTAATTAAGTCAACCTTGGAAATGGGAGGACAATAAAAAAAATTAATTTGAAAATTACGATTTTATTGTTCTTTCTTGTCCTTTTCTATTTGATGTTACATGATGCGGTATTGATATCATCTAAACCAATCCAATTTTAAAATATTCCGAATATGATTTAATCCGAGGTCAAAATAATTTAGGGTAAATTTTATTGTTAGCCACCCAACTATCAGGGTGTTGTTATTTTAGTAAACAACCCCACAAAAACTTTTAATTTTATTATTTAACTTTTTTTATTATTTCTATTTTGGTCCCTCTACGTTAAAACAAAAATATGATGTGGTATTTTTAAAATTTGTATACATTTAAGTCTTTACTATTTATACACTTTGTCAATTTAGTCCTAATTCTAAATAATTAAAAAAGGCATAATGCAACAAATACCCCTAACGTTTGATAGTATATGCAAATTTGCCCCTATTATTTTTTTTGGAACATTTGACCCCACAACGTTTAATTTTGATTCAAAAGCCTCCCCGTTGGATGGAAACCTTTAGTCAATTGACGATCAACGCCTCTAGCTGACTAAGCAAGCACATGTGGACACAAATGATGATGTGGTGTGTGAACGTCACTAATATATGCTGATTCAATTCAAAAAAATCAACTCACCTTAGAAATATACGATTGTGTAATCGGTTTGAGGATGTTGCTTGAAGGAAATGATGAATTTGAGAGGAGAAATGATTTGAAATATTGGGGTTTCTAAACCCTAATATTTTGGGAAAATCGGTTTTAAGATGCCTGTGAGATATTTGAAACGCGTGTTTCATTTTGTTTAATTAAACTGAACATTTATTATGGGTTAAATAAGGTTTTGTTTCAATACAAAACCAAGTATCATGCTTGGCCTGGTGGCAAGGGTCATCCCATTTCACGCCCTTGCCCCAGGTTTGAGTCCCCTTCCACGCAAGTAGTAGTCTTTTATTCATTCTTTCCAATATGCACCAATATGAGAGTGACATGTGTCACTCTCTTATTGGTACAAAATTCTCATTAAAATTAATTATTTAAACAAAATAAGGTTGACGTGTCAATTTCACGTCAACATATATTAGTGACGTGGACACACCATGTAATCATTTGTGTCCACATGTGCTTGTTTAGTCAGCTGAAGGCGTTGACTATCAGTTGACTAACGGTTTCCATCCAACAAGGAGTTTTTTGAATCAAAATTAAACTTTGTGGGTCAAATGCTCTAAAAAACAATAGGGATAAATTTGAGTATACTGTCAAACTTTAGAGATATTTGTTTGCATTTACTTGTCTTTATAACCATAATGAAATTTCATTGATTTGTCAGTGTTGCAAGGTGCGTGAGTTTATAGGGGAGGGCATGTGAGCGGACATGTGGTCAATTGAGGGGTTTGGGTGCTCGATTGTGTCGTCATTGTTTTTCACCCAGTAGGGAAGAACACTAGTACGAATTAGGAGTTTTTTTTGAAAAAGTTTTGAAATGTAAGGAGTCACCACCAATCATTTTAAGGTGCGATCAGAACACCATAAATAAAAATAATTTTAATAAAACATTTTACTATTATTTTTATCAAAATATCAAGTTTTAGGGTCTATAAAAACCATAAAATAGGTTCAGGAGTTAGTTACGCGTGGGGAAGGATTAGTACCCTACAGGGCCCAAAATTTAGTACCTAGTTGATTACCCTATATTTAAAATTGATAATATTTGAGCTCGAACTTTATCTAATTTAAAAAATCATCATAGATGCAAAGTTAAAAAATGTATTCGTTTATTAAAGCCGATAGTCTTCACCCCCTAGCATGAATGCGGGAGATCAACTATTGTGCCTAATAACCGGACATTGTTTCGATATTTTAGAAATCATGATGCAGTTTTGAAAATGTTGTCGAAATATTTCGAAAATCACCAGTAATCACCCCCTGAGCATACTTGTGGGAGATATACTTTTGACTCCCTAATAAGTGAACATTGTCTTATGTTTTAAAACATGATATCATCTAACAATTTATTATTAACTCTAATTAAACTAAGAGCAGATTAAGGCTTTCTCTTGCTAAAAGTGTCCAATATTTAAAAGTAAAGAACGTAAAGGCATAAACCTAAAATGTAGGTTCTAATATTAATCTAATTAATTTTAATCTAATATTAAACCTAAAAGTGTCCAATATTCGAATAGTTAAAATGGAACATCGTCAACCAAACAGTAAGGAAGCGAGACTACGAACAACTCTAAAACACTCGAATCCATCGAGGGCTATAGCAATACAGTGAAAAAGATCTCTAGAAGCTCTGCCCTAACACGAACCTTCCACGCAAAGCGTTGCCCTCGCTACAAAGATCAATCTCGGACCGATCAACAAAGGTTGTAAACTTTTGCCTAACAAAGGTTGTAAACTTTTGATCTGAGCCCAAACAGCGTCAACCAAACAGTAAGGAAGCGAGACTACGAACAACTCTAAAACACTCGAATCCATCGAGGGCTATAGCAATACAGTGAAAAAGATCTCTAGAAGCTCTGCCCTAACACGAACCTTCCACGCAAAGCGTTGCCCTCGCTACAAAGATCAATCTCCGACCGATCAACAGCACAATCTGTCGCAAACAAACCACGATCAGCCACATCCCTACTATCAAATTGCCTCGACTTCTGTCTCCTCAAATCTTCTTCATTCTATTGAGCATACACACTAAATATCAATCTTGAAAATCCAGGTTGGACTGCTGGGATTGCACCAAACCACCATGCATATTTTACAAAAAAATCCTCGCCCACTGCTCTAATAATCTCCTACCTGGATAATATGTCGAACAGAATTAAAAATGGAGAATCAAGCTTATTCCCTTAAAAACGCAGCTCCACCTCACAATCCACTATCCCATACAAGTTGTCTCCAAATCTGCAACATTATCACTCCTCAAGCAGAAACGCAAACATGCGGATACAATAATAAAAACCCAGGCCCCCCCACATGCATCACTCCTAGCTCCACTAAAACTCCCATGCCATGCTGCCCCTATACCAAAACACACAGAACCGCAAACACCAATATAGCTGCCAATACCAAAAATGTTCCTCTGGCACAACGCCAAGAGCTACACGTGCCCATACCACCTTACTCAGGACTAGTTTATTATGCACAAACCACAATGAAACCAAAAGCATCCACCAAAACATCAGCGATTGCATGTCACGCTCCGCCATCAACCAAAGCTCCAACAAAGAAAGCACAAAACCTCATAAAAATGGAGAACTTCCAAAAGAAATAACATCCACTATTAAACGACAGCCACATCACTTCCACGACCATAACACAAAACCAACAATTGAAGCGATTACCTCCTGCAACCTAGGACTCAACACATCATTGATACAGATGTACTCACCTCTCCACCACCGGTCGAAATGCCATCATGGAACACACAATGCAAAACAACAAACACAATAACGGGCAATGAACATCATCTAAAAGGAACTTCAGCGAACACCTATCTAGGCAAAGCAATCACAGGACAGCTTAAGGATGAAGGAGAGGAAATAACTTTGAAACAAACCCACTCTCTCAAATCCAACTAATAGACGAAGAAAGGACACAAACGCGACGAACACCGAAATTGCGAGGTTGAGGCCGCCTCCACCACAGATCTTGTTGCTAGAGAGCAAACAAATAAAAAGTTAGAATAACAAAAGAAAGAAAAAGATCGGCGGCCAACAACTAACCATAAAGGCTGGTGTCGCCACCTCCGCCTCAGGCAATAAAAACTACCTAGTCCCCTTGTTTTAGCATCCTTTGATATTCTTGTCACCTATTTTGTGGATTAATCACCCGAAGCTCCTCCAATTTTTACCTTCTTTTTACACTTTAGTTTATTTTAAGTTAGCTTGCTGATTTTATTTTATTTTATTTTGATCATTGATTATGTCATTATATTTTTTGTTGTTTATATTTTAGTCATCACATATGCTTTTCTGTTTATTTTAAGTTAGCTTGCTGATTTTATTTTATTTTATTTTGATCATTGATTCTTTAATAATTATTGCTTATTAATATTCGAATGTTTCTACGACCTTGTGGTGACCCAATTCGGGTATGATCCACATTATCATGGTCCAGACTCTACTAACTCCTAACTGATTTTTTATTTTTATTAATTTGTTTGAATTATTATAGAACCTTGTGAAGACCTAATTCAGGGTATGATTCATATTATTATGGTTCGGATTCTACTATTATTTCTAACACTAACCAATAATTACTAACATTTAACCATTAACCGCTAATTTTTATTTATTTATTTATTTACTAACATTAACCACTAACAACTTTTTTTTTCATTTTTTCACTAAAAGGAAGGGCAATCTCGAGCTTGGGTCCTTGAACTTTCTGGAATTTTGAAAATTGCCATAAAATTTTGAGAATCATACAATTTGGCCCCTGAAAAATATGCCCAACTTCAGGGTGTGACAGTTCACTTACTATGTCCATGGAGTAGGCTCTATGCAATATCGGGTTCATCTTATAACGACGCTCGAGAAAAAAAGAATTAGATAATTGAATTAAATACGGATTAAAAAATTATTTTGAATTATTCGAAAATTTAAAAAAAATTGGGCCTTTAAAAAATATTTATACAGTCTCGACAATTCCAACCTTCTCCAGTCCCCAGCACCAATGACCTCTATGATAAAAAATCAAACTTGATTGTGGTCATGTTATACATATATAAATTAGAAGAAAAAAATTGGCCCCAGAATAGTATAAAAGTTATAATAGTTTGATTTAATTTAATATACAATTTAATATCTGATTTTTTATTTTTATAATTAGGGTATTCATTTTTAATATATAGTTTGTTAACGATATTTTTTTTAGATATTTTCACTTCATTCGTATTTGTATACTATTATATAAATTATTTCTAGTAAGGTTTTTGACATATTAGGATATGTAATTTGGATATGGATTTCGATATTTATATATCTTATTTTTTAGATCGGATACGGATCACAATTTTAATGGTCCGAATCTGTTGATATCCAAAATTTCGGATAGGATAATATGATATCAAAAATGTACACCCTAATTGAGACTACCACAAACGAATTCCAATGGTGAGAACTGGAAGGAGGATAAGAAAAACATATCTCAATTTTACTCGGATAGAATGGTGAAAAAGCAACATCAATGATGGAGAAGCCAAAAGTAACTGAACCATTTCTATGTCACTTGAGATTTTTTTAGGTGAAATCGACATCGAATTTAAATTTGAGACAGAAAAATTATGATCTTCAATCATCGTCGATAATGATTATCATATTGATATTTAGAAAAAATGGAAAGTAAAAAGAATAAATAATGTTATAAGGCTCCAAAAATGACATCATTTTGAGATCGGCGTCAACATCTTTTCGAGGGAAGTAATATAATGAGGATCACAAATATAATTATATAAATTTAGGTATTTGATATATTAGCATTTATGTTAACGATAAGATTGATTAAAACCATTTAATAATTTAATGACTCAATTAACAAAATTCACAGTTCAATTGTCAACATAAAACCTACCCTATGATTTAACGACTATACAAGTAGTTTATCTTATAAATTAATACAGATTTGAATTCATCAAATTAAGCTTCGCTTAAATAAGAAAACATGAGTTCACGAAGGGGTCGAAAAGAGACTTGGGTTGGGGACCATCCCATTCCACTGATTCCCACCACTCCTTTGGTATTATCCGAACTGAAAGAGAAAGATTTGCAGATGCAGATGCAGATGGTGGGACATTATCAAGTTTGGGAAGATTAAGACCCATCCTCTTTAATTTTGGACAGTCTACAATCTCAATTTGTAGAGAGAATCACAAACCAGTACTCCACCAGCACTGCAAATGCTCTTTAATTCCGGTAGATCCCACAAACTCAATAGGCTCAATTGTGGAAGATAAAACTCGGTGATAACCATTCCTCTTTCCGCCGTCTCAACTTCTGATGTTATTATTTCCTCCAATTGCTTACACCCTTCAACACTGAGTATTTGTAAATTTAGCGGCACACAATTTGGGGAGAACAACTTTTTCATATTTCTGCAATCATTTATTTTAAGAGATCTAAGAGATGAAAAGGAGGAAAGTGAGAAGAGGATAAACCTGGAGAAAAGAGGGTATTCTTCACTGCAATCAACATTGCATTCCCTAATTTGCAATCCCTCATTGTCACGTGGAAGCACAATCTGGTAGGTATAGATGTTACAACCACTTACAACAATTTCTTTTCTTGCACCTTCAAAAAACGTAGGAAAGCCTATATCTCCCACGTAGATTATGTATTGACGAGGCTCTTCTCGGCCACGACAAGCTTCGAGATACATATTTAAGTTGTTCCAGTCATGAAACCTCCCTTCAAGAGTTCCCTGCAGTTTCTTCAATTCACCAACCTCCTTTCCATTTATCAGAGTTTCACCGACGATCAAGTCTTGAAGACAACAAAGTCTTGAAAGTACTTCATTCGGGATCTCATTTAAGCTGTAGAAATAACCTAAATTTAGGTACTCAAGACTCACCAAGTTTTCCATCCCATCAGGGATTTCCTTGATATTTGTTCCTCGAAGATTCAACTTCTTTAAAACTCCAAGATTTGACAACGATGGAACATTCTCTAAATCTTTACAATAAGCAAGCAACAATGAAGTGAGGTTCTTCAAATTTGATAAGGAATGCGGAAGACTCTTGATAGGATTGAAGGAAAGATCAAGAATCTTGAGTTCATTCGCATCATCGAAGAAGCTTTCTGGAATACTTTCTATACGACAATCAGACAACAACAATGTTGTGAGCCCGGGACACTTCGACAAGGAAATTGGAAGACTCTTGATAGGATTTCTGTATAGATCAAGAACCTTAAGTGCATCCATATGCTTGAAAAATCCTTCTGGAATACTCACTATATTGCAATGAGACAACAACAATGTTGTGAGCCTGGGACACTTTGGGGTGACATTTCTAAAGGTATATATAACCACTGATTCCTCATCAACGAAACTTTCTCTAGATCCTTGCTCCATTCTTGCACATCTGGTATTTTTTCAAGCATCATGCCAGTTTTTACCAGGACTCGAGATTCTGCAATATGTAATGCCATGTCCCTTATAAGATCATGCATCTTTATAGTTCTTTCATTTTCAGAATGAGTAAAAACTTCCAACAAACAATTGCTGATGAGTCTATTCATTATTGCACGACCCCTGTCAAACCCTGCCCGCATGCTATCCATTTCTTCCACAAGCCCTTCTGCGATCCAAAGTTGAATAAGACTTCGTTCTTCAATTTCCTCATCTTCCGGATATAATGCACAACTGAGGAAACAATCTTGAAGTTTTGGATTCTTTAAACGATCAAAACTAAATTGTAATTGTTGGAACACTTCTTCTTCGAATCCATTAACACTCTTTTTGCGTAGACTTAATTCTTTTAGTGCATTCCTCCATTCTGAAATGTCATCAATGCCCTTCATACAAGAAGCTATAGTAATTACTCCCAAGGGCAAACCTGCACAACGCTTAGCAATTGATCTTGCAATTGGTTTCACCCCTCGAATATTGAGAATATCACGACCCGCCTTCTCCAAGAACAACGTCCATGCCTCTTCTTCCGTTAGAGGCTTTACTTTAATCATTCTACAACCCACTTGTCGACACACATCAGATGATCGAGTTGTCAACACTAACTTACTCCCATTTGACGGCTCGAGAATTCCTATTCTCTCTAGTGAACCTTCTCCCATAGGTCATCCAAGATCATCACAAACCTACCCTTCTGAGACAATGTTTCAAAGATCATCCCTGCCCTTGTAGTTTCATCTTCATCACCAGAAAATTCTACTCCAATTCTACTTGCAATGTCTTTCTGCAGTTTAACAATACTCACCTCTTTGGATACAGTGATCCAAATCACAATTTCAAATTTCCCCGTCTCTTTTAAGAGTTGGTTGTTTATAACCTTCATGATGCTCGTTTTCCCCACGCCACCCATGCCCCAAACTCCAATCTTTCGAACCCCATCATCCATCAAGCACTGCCAAATCTCTCTAACACAGGCCTTTACAGCTTCACCTGATAAACTTATTGTCGATAAAACTTGTCCGATCCATTGAGGATTGTTAACCACCAAACCTCCATGAAACTTACCATGTTGAATAATAAGTTCTTCAACTTCCTTTGTACTCTTTGACAAATATTCTGTGTGAGATGCACGTGTAAGAGCACTACTTTCACCGATTCTGTCATCAAGGTCTTGCACTTCGCCATTGACTCTTTCAACATTTTCCAACCATATCTGGACTTCCTCCTTGAGTTTCTTCCTTGGCTGCAGCTCTGTTCTCATTATATATTCCGTATCTTTCTTCGTTCCATTCAATTCTTTTAATTTCCTTTTAAGGTCCTTCATATGCTGATCAAAACTCATGTGATCGTCCAAGTGCTTATTAATCTTATACAGAACAAAGTCCATGGCTGCAAGTCACAAGCAATATGTTAGAAACTGGGCAAACACAGTAATGAACATGGAGTAGAAAGCGATTTATGCCATGGACTTGCAGTTTATGAAAAAAATCAAGTTAATGATTATGGAGTAAAAAGAATGAAAAAGAATCATGTTCCTTGCAGTTAATGAGGTTCGAAAGAACAATAAAAATGTAAAATTCAATACATACCTCTTCTGAAAATTTTGTTCGGAGATGATAACAGGAGAGAACTAGCAAAAAAACGTTCCTGATAATATGAGAAACGGTGATATAAAGAGCCACTCCAAAGGGTTCTCTATGCATGTGCTAGAATTACCTACACTAAAGCAATTTTCACCAACAACAAACAAGGAAATCACACACCCTTGGCGGAACAAATCACTGTTACACGCACACAGCACAACAGGTAATTACAAATTTCCAAGTTTATTGGTCATTATTGTCTTTTTCTTCTTTATAGGCTGCTGATATTGTTAGGCATGTAAATGAACTGAATGTTCAGCGAACCGTTCATGAACCGTGCGGCGGGAAGTTCGTTTATGTGCGTTTATTTATTAATAAACGAACATGAACAAGATTTTGTATCCGTTTAATTAAATGAACGAACATGAACATAGGTCTCGTTCGTTCATTTACGTTCGTGAACGTTCGGTTATGTTCGTTCAGTTATGTTCGTTTATGTTCGTTCATTTATGTTTAACCCAATCTTCTTAAATTAATTTTGGTGACCAATTTGTAAGTATCTTAAAAATATTAATTAATCTGATATTCTGATGACCAACTTCTATAATTAACCCAATTTTATTTGGAGATTAAATCCAATATGTTAACCTGTGAGACACCTCGCACCTATATTCATTTTCCCTCTTTTTTCCCAAACCCTAGTATTCACTGGAGAGTGGAGACGATCGGTGAAAGCTTCAAAACAAGTTATATTATAGTGCAATCTAAAAGTTTTACAGGTATGTTTTCATCTCTTTCTCTGTTTTATTTAACTTAATAGTTGATATGTAAAGTTATTGTGGGTATCTTCACATCTAAAACTCAAGAAAACATCATACTTCTTTCTAGAAATAGATGGGAAGATAAAGGTAACAATCGGAAGTATATGAGCATCAGTAAAGAGAAAAATATATAGAATTTGCCAAAAAAAAAACAAAACAAAGGTTTCTATGCAATTTCTGAAAAAGAGTGTAATAGCGGAAGTAATGGGTTTTCAAGGAAAAACCCATTAATAAGTAGAAAATACACTTTGACAATGAACTTTTGTTTTCATAGTTCTTGTGTGACCTTTAGTTGTGGAGTAGACTTTAGGTACGTTAAAATTTTGAATGGTGGTTTAGCAATAATATTAGTTAGATATGTAGCATCGGAGGGATTTCGGATCTATGTTATTGCCTTGTAGTCCAATTTGTACCGTTCGAAATCTTCATGCTGTTAAATTTTCTACTCTGCTAATGGAAAGGACTATTATTAACAAATCTCACTAAAGTCTGGCATTGATGTCACAAAACTTTTAGCCGGCGAATTTATTAGAATAACGTAGTGAAAATGATTGTTCATATATAATCATGGACCACTAAGATAAATGTTATAGCGTTAAATTAAAGTCATGTGAATCATTTAATATCTTTAAAAGATCGATCGAAATATATGATATCTTCAAACATTTCATCGCTGTTAATCAACTCTTACGCTATTTATCATTGTAGATTTGGTTAATTTGCATTGTCGACTATTTTTCATGAAAGAACAATGGAAGGTAGGGTCTCCAACGTTCGTGTTCATTTATGTTCGTGTTCGTTTATGTTCGTGTTAGTTTATGTTCGTTTATTTATTAAATGAACGAACATGAACAAACTATATTCCTTAATGAACGAACATGAACAAAAAAAAATTTGTTCGTTTATTTATTAAATGAACGAACATGAACATACCTCCATTCGTGTGCGTTCGGTTCGTTTACAGGCCTAGATATTGTTATTTGTTATTTGGGTTTATTGTCTTTTTCTTCTTTACACCGCTCACCAAAACTTAAGCAAGTTTCACCTACTACACAAAGGAAATGTTGACTCCAGTCTCAGTGACCTACTACACAAACGAACTGATATTTCAATAAAGCTGGTTAGGTGCAACGACTTTAAGAAAGTCAAATTAAAGTTTGATTTGAATCATATTTAATACTATCTTGGTAGATACATAATGTGAAAATATAGAAATATAAGCCATCCAAGTCAATTCAAAATTGACAATAACAACATGGAGTGTCAGATTGGTTTACAAAAGAACTAATGGCATATAAGCAGGGACGGAATGAGCCTTCAGGAATACTCTCTGTACCACAATCAGACAACAACAATGTGGCGAGCCTGTGACACTTCGATAAAGAATTAGAAAGACTCTTGTGATAGAATTTCTAGAAAGATCAAGAATTTTAAGTGTGTCCATATTCTTGAAGAAACCTTCAGGAATGCTCCCTATATCACAATCAGACAACAACAATGTGTTGAGCCTGGGACACTTTGGGGGTGACTTTTCCAAGGGTATGTACAACAACGAATTACTCATCAATGGAACTTTCTCTAGATCTTTGCTCCATTATTGCTCATCTGGTGACTCTATTAACATCGTACCGGCTTTTACCAAGAATCGAGTTTCTTCAATATGTAATGCCATGTCCCTTAGAAGATCATGCATCTTCACAGTTCTTGTATTGCCGATGAGTCTATTCATTATTGCACGACGCCTATCGAACTCTGTTTGCTTACTATCCATTTCTTCTACAAGCCCTTATGAAATCCAAAGTTGAATAAGACGCCCCTCTTCGATTTCCTGATCTTCTGGATATAATGCACAACTGAGGAAACAATGTTGAAGTTTTGTATCCTTTAAACGATGGAATTGTAATTGTTGGAACACATTTTTGGCGTTGACTAAATTCTTTTAATGCATTCCTCCATTCGGAAATGTCATCAATTCCCTTCATGCAAGAAGCTGTAGTGATTAGTCCTAAGGGCAAACCTGCACAACGCCTAGCAATTGATCTTGCAATTGGTTCCACTCCTCGAATACTGAGAATATCACGATCCACCTTCTCTAAGAACAACTTCCATGCCTCTTCTTCCATCAAAGGCTTTACTTTAATTACTCTACAACCCATTTGTCGACACACATCAGATGATCGAGTTGTCAACACCAACTTACTCCCCGCAGACGGTTCAGGGATTCCTACTTTATCAAGGGAAACTTTGTCCCACAGGTCATCCAAGATCATCACAAACTTACTCTTTCGAGTCAATGTTTCAAAGAGAATCCCTGCCCTTGTAGTTTCATCTTCGTAACCGGAAAATTCGACTCCGATTTTACTAGCAATGTCTTTCTGCAGTTTAGCAATACTCGTCTCTTTGGATACAGTGATCCTAATCACAATATCGAATTTCCCAGTCTCTTTTAAGAGTTGCTTGTTTATAACCTTCATGATGCTTATTTTTCCCACGCCACCCATCCCCCACAGTCCAAGCTTTGGAACCTCATCATCCATCAAGCACTGCCAAATCTCTTCAGCACAGGCCTTTACAGCTTCACCTGATAAACTTGTTGTCGACAAAACTTGTCCAATCCATTGAGGATTGTCAACCACCAAACCTCCATGAAATTTACCATGTTGAATAATAAGTTCATAGACTTCCTTTATACTCTTTAACACATCTTCTCCGCGAAATCCATGTTTATTCTTTCAACATTTTCCAACCATATCTGGATTTCCGCCTTCAGTTTCTTTCTTGGCTGAAGCTCTGTGCTCATTATAGATTCTGCATCTTCCTTCAAACCATTCAATTCCTTTAATTTCCTTTTAAGGTCATTCCGATACTGATCAAAACTCATGTGACGGTCCAACTGTTTGTCTATCTTATTCAGAAGAAAGTCCATGGCTGCAAGTCACGAGCAATATGTTAGAAACTAAATAATAACACATCATTAAGTGAATGTATCTAAGAAATGACCATCCAGCTCAGTTGGTAGAGCACAAGGTTCTTAATCTTGAAGTCGTGGGATCGAGTCCCACGGAGGGCATTTCATAATTCGGAGGTCTCTTACGGAAGCTGCTCTCAACCTGGTGTTGGGGGTAGCCTACTATCTTACCTCCCCTTACCCCATACATATGGGAAAAAGGGACAGCCATTTTAAGTGAATGTATCTAAACATGTTCAAAAAAATTCCATTTTCTCATAAAATTTTGATTTTTTTTTGTTTAGTTTTGGTGTTTCCTTGAATTTGAGTTTTAATCTCGATTTTTTTATATTTTTAGAATTCGTGTGTCAAGGCAGAGATTATTAATGTTTGACTCAAACTCAATTTGACTCATGAATATATATAAAATCAAGAGGAAATTGTTTTTTTTTATATTAATGATTTTTTTCTCCGTAATTGTTTTTCAAAAGAGTTTTACACTTAAAAATATTAATATCTATTTTATTACGTGATCATTTTATTTATTGTTATTTTCTAATAAAAACTCCGAATTAAAAATAACTTCATCACTATAAAATAATACTCTGACTTCATTTTCATTAATACATGAAATTGAAATAATCATTATAAATATTGTGCATATATTTTTCAACATACATGTAAGCTAATTTTAAAATTGGTGAGTTGAAGATATAAAAATATGTGAAAATAGTTTGTTAATGGTTGAAGATAAGCCAAATTCTTTACTTCCTCAGCCTTTAACAATCGCTTCTTTCCGGTTTCGTCTTCGGGTATTTTCGATTGAAGCTCTTCTATGATCTTGTTTTCGACTATTGGATGACGGGAAACCAGCCAAATGAACCAAGTAAGAGCAGAGCTTGTGGTGTCCCTCCCTGCAAGCATCATACTCAAAATAGTCTCTCAAGAATTTATCGTCACATTCTAAACCTATTGACTTCTCTTCGGTTATGTACGGTGTTAAGAGATCCACGCCTTCTTCGACGATTTCCGATGTCGAATTCGACCCTCGGTTCAAATCTTTCCTCTTCTGCCATATATACTCGGCTATTATATCATCAAGAACTTGCCCCGCCTTTCCATATTTCCGTTCTTGTCCCGTGTTCAGCCACCTCTGCAACTTGATAAACCATGGTGGCCTGACATGCCGATAAAATATCGCTTCCTCGGCATCATCCAGGGCCTTGGAGAAAAGAACATCCGGAAATTCGACCGAAAGGGATCTAGGGTCATGGCCAGTAACCAAGTGCATGTAGCATCGAACGTGAACCTTCGGAATATATCTTCTAAGTCTGCCACTAGGCATCGTTTGGCAAAATGGTTCATAACAGGAACGAGCCCGTGTGCCACCTTATAATGGGAAGTCCTCGACAAAAAACTATGAAACCGGTGAGTTCTCACGAATCCTTGAGCAACCATCCTCTGTTTTTTCCACAGATCCATGTCGGAGTTGAAAATACCGTCTCCCAGTTTGTTGAACAACTGTTTGAACTCGGATCCTTGGGGGAAGTTGGCAAAGTTGGAGATCATAACGTGGTGAATGTTGGCAGGATCGCAGGTCAGCATCAGGTTCATGTTAGCAGACCAAGGGCCTTTGAAAAGGAAAGTGCAGTGGCATCTCTCGAGAATGTCGGTACACCAATCGTGAATCCGATAAACGTTGAGGAGCAGCGCCGGCATCCCAACAATCGGATAACTCCTTGGACTCCCATCTTTGTTTCTCGAGCTGTATAGAAACAGAAAGCAAACGAGAGCCAAGAAAACTTCAAAAAAACTGACTAATGCCATGAAATTGCAAAGCTTTGGGAAATTGTTTAATTCCTTCTTCTTAATTTATAGGGAAACATACATGTAGGTTTCTTTTAAAAGCATCCCATTCATGAGAGATTGACAGGTACCAAGTACCTAGAAAGTAGAGGAGTGGACAGCAATTATAAGGTAGTTATCGATGATGTACATACTTACGGACACAATTTATTAAATCTGAAATTTCTAAGAATAATAACATTATATTTTATTTATGAGGTTGATGAGTTCAATGAGATAAAAGTTTTTTTTTTTATAATTGTCTGAGATGATTACACGGTAGTATTTGTTCAGAATTTTTTTAACCTATTGTCGATGCACCCATAAACTTTTGGGAGAATAACATTCCCTTTTACCAATTCATGAATTCTAATGAGAAAAAAGTTTTTGACAGATTCTAAATATAATATTAATCCTAACTAGAAGGGAGAGGAAGAGAGACTTTAGGGAAAGGAAGGATAGTGCTCAGTGGATCCAGTACTCATGAGCTAAAGAAATATGAAGAATAAAGATGTACACCTTAATCAATCGATTAAATTAATTAAATATACTCCTATAATTTTTTATTTATTTAACAAGTTTTCTTATTCGAGGTTTACGGATTAATTTTAATTAACATTTAAATTAGTTCATATATCTTTAAATTTTAAAGGTTTCACAAATAATAAGAATATGGAATCATAATATAATAATTCAGCAATTAAAGTCTCAAATAATGATAATTGATATTAAAACAAATATAATATAATTCAGAAATTATATATTTATTGTCGAGCAAACATGTGGCATAACACTCCTTACTCGATCCGAATGTTAATTAGAAAAAAAAATATCACATTCGAAGCACATAATAAAATTTAAATTAAAAAAATTCCAATTTTTACTTAAAATTCACAACATAATCTCCATCAAGTAACCAAGGATCATTTTTACAAATTTCACACATAACAAATTATTTAACTAATATTAGAGGAAATTCATTGACCGGATCCGATGATAAAAGAATGTTGTGAATAGTTAAAAAAAATTTATATCAGACTTTTTTTTATTATCCAAAGTATACCATTCAATTAGTCAATGAAGGACCAAATTCCATAACTTACAAAACATGAGGGCATGTGAGCAAAGCTTACAAAATCGATCATACGATACGACATTTCAGAGCAATTCAGACAAATTTATTTTAATCAAAAGAATATTAAAATAGTTTTTCCTGGTGGTTATATAGTATCAAGATGGATACATGAATCTATCAGTACCCTATGTCCATGACACATAATCTAATCGTTATCGACACACAATTCGATCATTTACGACACATAACCCACCTTACAACCATCAATAATATCTAGAATATGATATTATACAACAATTAATCATTAATCTCAAAATCAAGTCTTAAACATGTATATGGCAAATTTCAAGAATTTTCTCAAAATATTTTGCTAATTTCAGTCTCTCTTCTTTCTTTATCTATCTCTATTAGATAATGAAGGATGAAAAATCAAAGAAACAAATATGACCTTAGGAAGAAGTAGATAGAATAAAAGGGATTTTAATACCTTTTTCCTAAATTATCAAGGGTTATGATTTCATCACAATATTGTAATCAGGGACAGATGGGAGGGGCAACGGAGCTATCTTCTAAAAATTTCAAATTATCATATATTTTTTTATTGATAATATGTTTTCGCCCCCTAAAATATTAGAAGTTTGTCTCATTCTAAAATTTTAAAAATTCGCCTCTTCTAACATAAAATATTGCATCCCGATTGTAGTGGAAATCAGGGAGGAGGAGAGGAATTTTGCTCCAAATTGATATTGAACTCACATTATAAGAGAAAAGCTATATCAACTAATGTTTGAGAGCTTTTAACCATCTCCTCTAGAGATTGTGTTCGACTGATCACTATGGTTGTGCTTACTATTGTGATCATTTGTTGTTGTATCCTGAGAGACCGACGTCCAACATTACTCAAAGCACTTAGGAGAGGATGAATCTGTCTTAAAGAAATTGTTCATACATGCCTCAACAAAATTCTTCTTCGATTTATATTACTCTACTCATCCAATTCAGTGTCTAAATATGAGTAAATTAATTTATTGTCTCTACTTTAAGTTTTATTTATTTTGTTTCATTCGATTATATAATAATGTTTATTATTATTATTATTATTATTATTATTATTATTATTATTATTATTATTATTTTATCTCGGATTAACATTTTTTCTAACAAATATATCAACTAAGGTCTGACAACTTTTAACAATCTGCTCTAGAGATTGTTAACTAGAATGCTTCTTTTTCTAATTAGTCTTTCATGCAATAATACAACTACAAAAGCCTTAAATATAACATCATTTATTTAAAATTTAATTTTATATTATTTAAAGATACATTGAAAAGTAATGGAAATTAAAACGTTAATG